TCCTAGGCTTCGCCAACTACTACAACAGGTTCGTGCCACAGTACGCTAAGATAGCAGCGCCACTGACCGACCTGCTGAAAAAGGATACGCCCTACAAATGGGATACTCCTCATCAGCAAGCCATGGAACAGTTACAGACAGCACAAACTACAGCGCCAGTACTCATCCTACCGGACCCAGACAAGGACTACGTGGTGGAAGCAGACGCTAGTGACCAGGCAGTCGGAGCAGTACTGATGCAGGATCACGGGAACGGTTTACAGCCTATCGCCTACCTCAGTAAAAAACTACACGGAGCAGAACTGAACTACCCCATACACGACAAGGAAGCCTTAGCCATAGTCGTAGCCTTCAAGGCGTGGAGGTGTTACCTAGAGGGAGCTAAGACCACAGTTTATACTGACCACTGCAGCCTCAAATACCTGAAATCGCAGCCGACACTTTCACGACGACAGGTGCGGTGGGTGGACTTCCTGGAAACCCACTTCCACTACGACATCGTCTACAAGCCCGGGCAACACAACAAGGCAGACGCTTTGAGCCGCCCCGGACATGTAGCAGGCATCCAGCTCGACGGGATGAACCCTCTGCTCAAGGGTCTGTTCCAACATGGGTACTCCGTGGACGCAGAGATCGCTACAGCACAGACTAAGAAACTGTTACAGTGGGAGAAAGACTTAGCGGTAAGGAAGGGTTCAGGAAAGATTTGGGTACCGAATTACGCCCCGCTACGGCAGATCCTATTGGAGGAGTTTCATGACGCACCATACGCGGGACACTTCGGGAGCAACAAGACGTTAGCGGGAATAGCGAAGTATTACTACTGGCCCGGGATGGCAGCAGACGTGCAGCAGTTCGTCACCTCTTGCGACACGTGCCAGCGAATGAAGAGCAGCAAGCAGAAAAAAGCAGGGTTACTTCAGCCTCTACCCGTACCGGAGCAGCCATGGCAGGTCGTTAGCCTTGACTTCATCACAGGACTTCCTTCGACCTCACGGGGACATGATTCCATCCTCGTAGTGGTCGATAAGTTCTCCAAAATGGGTCACTTTATACCGACCAACGCCACAGCTACAGCTGACGCAACTGCTCGCCTCTTCTTCGACCGCATCATCACCATCCACGGCATCCCCGCTACACTCATCTCAGACAGAGACCCAAAATTCACGAGTAAGTTCTGGAAGGAGCTCATGGGACTGTTGGGGACAAAACTTGCAATGTCTTCAGCATACCACCCCCAGACTGACGGACAAACAGAGCGACTCAATCAAGTGGTTGAACAGTTACTGCGCACAGCTTGCAAAGACGACGTCAGCCACTGGGACACACAGTTACCGACCCTAGAGTTCGCTTACAACAACGCGTCACATGCGGCCACAGGGAAAACTCCTTTCTTCCTGTGTTACGGACGGGAACCACTTACACCACAGCAGCCAACCACACCGGCACACGTCCAAGCCGCACATGACTTCGTCACCACCATGCAGCAGCTATGGGAGAAGACTCCGCGACGTCTCACCACGATGCAGAACTCTCAGAAGCAGTATGCCGATTGCCAGCGACGTGATCACTCAGTAGCAGTCGGAGATCAGGTGCTTCTCGACACGCGCAACTTGAACCTGTCTCACCTACCATCCAAACTCCGGCCTCGCTTCTGTGGTCCTTTTCTCGTTGAGGCACAGGTGACACCACTTACATTCCGCTTGCGCTTACCAGATACGTGGAAGCTTCACAATGCTTTCCATGTTCAGCATACCGCCACCCAACTTTGAGGGGGGGACGTGTGAGAGTACGACGGCTTATGCCAGCTATGCTTGCTTGCCTTTACTTTATTATGCTATTTCTAGCATATGATTATTTTATGCATGCATGAATTGCTTGATTTCCTAGGCTAGGTGCTCTTCTATATTTTATTATAGTTATAGCACCGAGCTAGGTTGCGTGCACCGAATTCTGGGCTTTTCGGTTGCCACCGAATTGCCTTCTACCGAATTCGGGAAGGGTCTGTTCGGGACGCTTCGCGACCCTCAGAACCTTCGCGTAACGCCTGGTTACTGGGTCTTGTGTCGAGTCTATATATAGCCTCGTGTTGTACCCAGGTGATTCATTCAATTCAAACTCTCTTTTCTGAGCTCGATCCTAGATCCTCACACACGGTGTTAGATTAAAAATGAGGGTTTGTTGCGCAAAAAATCAATGGTGCATTCGATCTAACAATGCGTCTACCTTGAAACCGTCGTCCATAGACGGAAATAGCAGGTGCGCCTCCTTTAAACGGTCGGCCCAGTTCATCATCCCGGGTGTGGCGCGACCACCGGTATTCGCCCGTCGAATCTCACGCGCGAGTGCTGCTTCCACCATGGGCGACCTTGGCTCGCCGCTTGCCTCTGCCTGTCGCCCGCTGACACGGCCCGCCGCCGTGCGCTGGCGACAAGGTGCGGGCTCATCCACAGCGACGTCCCGTGCGCGGGTGGGCCGGGGGGTTGCACGCGGAACAGCAGGCCTAGTGGCAGGGCCGCGATTACCCTCGAGCCTCTCAATAGTCTGGTTCAGCTGGAGAGTTTGGCGCTCCTGTTCCGCGACGCGGCCGGCCATCGCAGTGTCCAGTGACGCGCCAGCCGTGATTGGCGCATTTGCGGTGGCAGCCGCCCGACGGTTCAGAGTCGGCCGACGCCCACCGGGGCGTTGTTCCTCGGACGTAGCCTGGGACGAGGATGCGATCACCTCAGAGAGTGGGCGCTGCTCGCGCCTTTCAGCTGCGAAACGAGGTGGGAAGGGGGGGGGGGGGGGGGGGGGGGCGGGGAGAGCACGTAGTGGGTTAAGTATGTAAATTATCAACAGTATAATACACACGATATACGAATGCACGATAGGATTTTAATGGACTCATATGTACCCTCCGCGTCCTCGTCCACAGGTTCCTCCTCGGGCATCCAGTTGTCCTCTTCGTCGTCGTCGTCCTCGACGTCCAGGCGCTCATCCTGGCGGTCCGCCCACGGCATGTAAGCGGTCTCAGTCTCGGGCTCGTCGCCGCGCACGCCGTCATCGGATGTTGACGGTCCGCGACCCCGGCGACTGCTGGTGCGTGGCGAAGATGTTCCTGGCCCGTAGTACACCATGTCGCCGCTTGGGGTCCGAACGCCGTCGTTGCTACGGCTAGAGCGCCTCATAGGTGAGTATGGGGAGGTTGCCGGGTCCATGTTCAGGTGCACTTAGGCTGCTTAGGGTGTTTCACGAGTATCTGACAATGCCTCGCATTGATGGTGATAATATAGCACCATTGCCAATGTGTCGCCGCGAAAGGATAAGGTGGTAGGGTAGCTACTGCTCCTGTCGCGCTGGCGACGTAATCCCCAAAAATCTGTGCAAGCACCAATGAAATAAGCGCACACGTAGTTCCATCCCGGAAAGGCCGTGTACAGGTGCAGATCATTGACAGCGCGGCTGGCAATGTGCCAGATATTTAGAACGCGCACCATATGCGCTGTCCACGGTGGATAGGAGAATGCGCGGGAAAGCGGCCCGTGACGTCGCATCTGTTAGGATTTTGCATCAACTTAAAGCCGGCGGCCCAAATTGTTCATGCTTTTAAAAGTTGACCAGAGGGAGTTTTTCTGGTGTGGGCTTTGGCGAGAGTTTCCGATTTCGTCTAGGTTCGTTTTTTTCGCGAGACCCAGCCAACCCTCGGTTTTCCCCCTGGTGAGTGAATCTGTCTTCGAAAGTCCCAAATTGCAAGTGCGTGACTTTCAAAAGCTTGGACACTCAACTTCGTCAAGTTTTAAAAACTTGACCCTCGCGGCCCGCAATTTGGGACGCGGGCTTTAACTTGCTTCAGTCTCCATCGTCAAGTCTAGCTGCGGTCTACATACCTCGAGGGCCAGGCAAAGGTTTAGAACTAGAAAACAGGGTAACACTTGGCTCCACAAGTTTGGCCCTGCGGAGAAGCGAACAATCTAAGCGGAAGGGTTGGGGAGGCGGTGGGGGGTTCCCAAGCCACCAGGGGAAACGACTTCGCTGGTTTAGAACTTGACCCACCTCGAGTTTGTATACCTAAACTGGCCCGACAATGAAGCCCAGCGTGTTTCCTAGGGGCTCAGACTTCACACAGAAAACCAGACTCCAATAGAGGCCCGCCTAACCCAGCCAAGGCACATCCTAGCACCAAAGGGTGCGCCGTGAGTACACCACTTCGAACACACCTCGCGATTTCTACTCTACGCTCGCAACCGCGTTCTGCACGGCGCGCTCTGCTTCATTCTGGAGCGTCGACCGTCGTCACCTTATGCAGGCCTCCACCTAGGCTTGACCGTGGTGCGTCTCGCGTTCATCGTCGCTGCGGGCTGTCGCGCTTTCGCCTCGTCTCTGACAATATAGTCGCTTTCGCCTCGTCGCTTTTGTAATGCCGCTTTCGCCTCGTCGCCTTTGTAATGGCGCCTTCGCCTCGATACCTTTTACAATGGCGCTTTCGCCTCGTCCCTTTTACAATGGCGCATTCGCCTCGTCGCTGTTGTAATGGCGCTTTCTCCTCGTCGATTTCGCAGGGTCGTTCACGCCCCGTTGCTTGAGACTCGTCGCCTTCGCCGCGTCACGCTCTTCATTAGTGCTACGGCCTCGTCGCTTTCGCCCGAGCCCTGACGCCGAGTCATCGCTGTGAGATCGTCATTTCCTTCGCCCCTAAAACAGCCACTGACTGCTCCCCGCCTAATGGCGTGCGGACGTCGCCGGGCATTCGCCGACATCCATGTCAAGCAGTGCAGCAGACCCCTAGCGCAACTAGCTCCCACAGTCGATTAGGATCCGCATTCAGCTCCGCGCAACCAGCTCCCGCTTTCCGCGCCCCGCTCTCATCTCAGCGCAGTGAACTCCCGCTTTCCGCTCCTCGTATATAGATCTGCGAATTTGAGATTCCCGCTTTTCGCTCCCCCCCTTTCATCTCAGCGGAATCAGCTCATGCTTTCCTTCACCGCTTCTAAAGTTTAGGGCTCGTACACATTAGCGGTATGCTAGCCGTTTCCCCTGCTCCGTGCCGATTTGCGCTCATCTCTAGTCTGCACGTGCTCCGCTGCTCACTGCTCGCCACAAATCGCTCGTCGACATGAAGCCGCACCTACCCACGCAATGGGCATGGCAATATTACCGCCTCTCCCTAAATCCCCTCACACCGATCTGCATAATTCCCCCGTTTTAGACTCTTGCTGATTCTCCCCTCTCCTCTAACCCCCTTCTCATCCATGTTCCCCTCTCTCATGTCTGCCTTATGCCCCTCCTCCTGATTCGGGGTAGCTCCCTTGCTCCCATCTCTCCTCCAACCCGCCTTCTGCCTTATTGCCCCCCATTCCCCATACCCATGGCTGGTTATTCCCGTGACCTTATTCATCTCTGCCATATTCCATGCGTTGCTCCAGTGTGAAATATCTCTCCTCCACCAGCTCGCAACTCTGTCATCGGCATGCGCAACTCACTCCCCCTTCTCCCCTCCATATCTTAATCCCTTCTCCCCCCTTTCCCCTCTCTATCTTACTCTCTTCTCTCCCCTTTCCCCTCTCCATCTTACTCCCTTCCTTCCCCTTTCCCCTCTCTGCATTACTCCCTCCTCTCCCCGTTCCCCTCTCTGCCATACTCCCTCGGCTGCCACTCACCCCTCTTTGCCTTACTCCCTTCTCTCCCCTTTCCCCTCTCTGCATTACTCCCTTCTCTCCCCGTTCCCCTCTCTGCCATACTCCCTTGGCTGCCCCTCACCCCTCTTTGCCTTACTCCCTTCTCTCCCCTTTTCCCTCTCTGCCTTACTCCCTTCTCCCCCCTTTCCCCTCTCTATCTTACTCTCTTCTCTCCCCTTTCCCCTCTCCATCTTACTCCCTTCCCTCCCCTTTCCCCTCTAGTGCAAATGGAGTGCTTGCTTTGTATTGATGACATCACTTGGTGTCTAAGATTGTGCAACTAAAACTAATACAGTAGTCCACTGTTCATGTTGTAAGCTAAATGTTTGCTTTTTGAGAAATGCATAAAACTTATTTGAAATGTGGACATGTCCAAGATGTGTAGGGGTGCTGCCCCTACTAGTCCCTCTCTTGCTGCTGCTCTGTGTGGTGCTGCTGCCAGGACTCTCACTGCTTGTCTCTTCATAATGCTGAAACAAAACATGCTGCCCCCCACCTGCAACGTCATTGCATGTGTTATGGGGATTGGAATGGGGAAATCGAGATGTTAGGCAAATGCGTTCGTAGTTGACTCTCTGCAAGGTGCGGCTTGGCCCAATCCACAAGGAACACCTCTTCTCCGGGGCGACTCTCATCCAGCATCGTTTGGGACACACCAGACTCCACCCGACCCTACCACACAGCATCGTACCGCATCCTGCCATCCTGCCCGTCAGCAGCTCCACCAGTACCACCCCGTAGCTCCACACATCGCTCCTTGCTGTCAGGTGGCCTGTTAGCACATTCTCTGGTGCGGCATAGCCCACTGTGCCTACGACCTGCAGTCATAGACCGAGAAAGGGGGGAAAGTAGGGGGAAAGGATAGTCAAGAGTCAGCAGCTCCACCAGCACAACCCCATACCTCCACACATCACTCCTTGCTGTCATATGACCAGTCAAGACATATTCTGGTGCGGCATAGTCCACTGTTCCCACGATCTGCAGTCGGAGAGAGGGATAGGTGGAGGAGGTAGAATAAGAGCGGTAAGTGAGAACAAGGCAGCAGCAGCTCCACCAACGTCACCTCGTAGCTTCACACGTCACTTCTTGCCTGTTAAGTGGTGCTCTGGGGAGGCAGCATAGCCCACTGTGCCCAGCACCTGGAATGGGGTGGCATGGGAAGAGAAGCCAAGGGGAATTTTAAGCCGACTCAACAAGTCGGCTAGACTCACTGTGCCCACCACCTGGAATGGGGTGGCATGGGAAGAGGGGGCAGGTCGCAGCATGAGCGCAGGCAGCAATCAGTCCGGGACCAGAAAACAGGACCTGACTTGAATAATATCCTACCTATGAGTGAGCGCTGATGTGTGTGGTTCAGCTCCACTCAGCCCCAGCCTTGTCAAGAACTCACGTGCACATGTGTGAGAGCACATCGCGCCTGAGAGATACTCCACCTGCCTCACCTCCATATTACTACCTAGGTGCTGGCGTCAGGAAGCAGCAGAGCCCTGCCGGGTGCTGACGTCAGGAAGCAGCAGAGCCCTGCCGGGTGCTGACGTCAGGAAGCAGAGCCCTACCTGGGTGCTGACGTCAGGAAGCAGAATCATACCTGAGTGCTGACGTGTGTGCGGTCGCCTTCAGGACCAGCCCTGGCGAGCCCAAAGTCGGACAGCTTGGCTTGCAGGTCGTTGTCGAGCAGGATGTTGGCTGCCTTGAAGTCCCTGAAGATCACCTGGGGATGCGTGTATGCTGAGGTTGTCATTATGGCGGAGTGAGACAAGAAACGAGAAGACCAAAAGGATTAGCACGCACAGTTATTACAAGTGCAGCAGGGTAGGGCGTGCCTGATGTGGGCATAAAGGAGGCAATGCAGAAATCACAATAAGGGGCAGTGCATACACTTCCCACACACAACGTCCACCCCACCTTTGTCTCTTTGATAACTTGCCGGCATGTTGGACTAGACTCCCTTACAGAACGTTGGTCACGTCGCCTGCGAGTGGGAGCATCGGAACAGTTATTTATGAGGGTAGTGAGAATGGTGGGGGAGGTGAACGCACCTAAAAAAGGCAAAACTTGTGATGCAGAATTGGGGATAAACGTGATTTATGGGGTTAGAGCAGCTGAACTCACCGAATATCGCGCGCTGCGCGAGGGGCCTGGACGTCCCGCCTGTCCGGCGTCGCTTCCTTGGTGTCGAATCGGGTGTGGGTGTACCGTCGCCCCCTGCAGTAGCTTGGGGTCTCTGAGGGACGACCGGTGTGTCTGGGGCTTGGGGGGACTGTAACGTAGTATCTTCCGCCGCACATGTTTGCTCGTCATCTCCACCATCCACGCATCCCCAATCACGCATGATGTCGTCGACCCAATCCCATATCATCGGCCCAAGGATCCGATAGCGTCTTCCCCGGCGCACCCGGGTGGCGCGCTGAATCCTCATCTTTGTTGCACGGACTTCGCGATCAAGGGAACGGTTCCAGTGCAGGACAGACAAAGCGACTCTAGCCCTCATGCTCCCTAGAAACCGAGTACTCTTTGGTGCGTACTTGATAATGAGCGAATGAAAAGACTCATTCATCCAGTTGCTATCACCTAGAACGTACGGAGCCATTTGAGTTGGACCGCAGTTGTCTGCCAACCACTTCTTGAAAGCAATGTGTGTTGTGGATCCACGCTCGTACAACGCACTCTCGGGACCCCAGCTATCTGCCACACACCTAGAAATCTCACCACCCCGCGAGCAACGGGAATGATCGCCCGCCCAGTGATCCGCAGCACATCCAATCTCATCAGCAACATCCTCGGGTGTCATTGGAGTTCCCGCTCTCGCGAGTGCGGCGCACCTCGCCATGATGTGGTGAAAATGAATGCTGAAACTTTGCGCGACGGTCACTTCGCGCACCACGCCATCGTTGGACTTGATAGAATTGGAACTGAACTGATTGATTGATAAGGAAGGCACTATGCCTTAAGTACAAACACGGTTGGGTTGAGTAAAGGTAGGGAAAGGATGGGATGGAAAACCTAGCAAATCTCCAATTGGTGAGTTGGCAGATTTGCAGGATTACGAGGGAATCCCAACCAGATAGGGTTGGGATTACAAATCTACACCCAACCTACAAAGTAACCTAACCGATATAGAATATAGTACAAAGTGTTGACTGACTATTTCTAACACACCCCCTAGGCTGACAACACCTCAGCCACATGGTGGCCCAACACCCATGGACGAGAGGAGGCGGTAGTGGTCTTGGCGAACAAGCGACTTGGTAAACAAGTCAGCAAGGTTGCAGTCGGAGGCAATGTGTTCAGCCTTCAGCTGCTCGCGCTGCACCAGCTCACGAAGAAAATAGTGACGGACCTCAATGTGCTTGGTGCGGCCGTGGAAGACGGGGTCCTTTGTGAGATGAATGGTGCTCTCGTTGTCACACCAAAGCGTTGGGGCTGGTTGAGGATACCCAAGTTCAGCCAGCAAGAAGGAGAGCCAACGGGCCTCCTGGGCAGCCATGGTCCCGGCATACAGCTCTGCCTCACAGGTCGACAGTGAGACGGAGGACGACCGAGTGGAGCGCCAACTGACAACCCCACTGCCAAGGGTAAAGCAATACCCTTGGGAAGAGCGCCAATCACTCTGGTCATCAGCATAGGACGAGTCACTGTACCCCTCAAGGCGAACAGGGGAAGAGCCGCCAAGAGTGAGCACATAGTCCTGTGTGCCTTTGAGATAGCGGAGGACCCGCTTGGCAGCAGACCAGTGGTGGCTCGTGAAGCGACCAGGTGCAACGTAGCGAGACAGGACACTGACTGGATAGGCCAAGTCTGGTCGAGTGCACATCATCGCGTACATGAGGGAACCAACGAGCTCGGGGTAAGCCTCATCACAGGGCTCAGGTGAGGGAACAGAGGGTGCAGTGAGTTGGTGCTGCAGAGAGAGTGGGGTGGGCATTGAAGCTGCTTCCTGCATCTTGAACCTGGTCAGAACGTTGTTGATGTAGAACTTCTGCGAGAGGGTGATGGTGCGGGCAGTGCGATCACGTGTGATTTCCATGCCCAGATAGTTCGTCAGCTTCCCAAGATCCTTCATGGCCAGCTTCTCACCAAGTGCGGTTTTGACCGCTGCCAGCTCAGTCTGATCCTTGGTGACAAGGATCATGCCATCGACATAAACCAAGATGAAGAAGCGGGATGGTGTTGCTCGGATGAAGAGGCTGGGGTCAGAGGTGGATGGGTGAAAGTCGAGGGACCCTAAGGTGCTCTTGAGCTTGTTGTGCCATTCCCGGGGTGCTTGCTTGAGGCCATATACTGGTCGATTCAGCTTCCATACAGTGTCTGGTGGAAAAGGAGCTGGAAATCCTTCGGGCCGCTCCATGTAGATTTCCTCTCGAAGGATCCCTTGCAGAAACGCAGAAGACACATCCATGCAGTCAACCTCCATGTCATCTCGAGCGGCCACATCGAGAAGGGTGCGCAGTGTGGGAGGTTTGGCAGTGAGAGAGAATGTCTCAAAGAAGTCCAGTCCATGCTTTTGGGTAAATCCCTTGGCACAGTACCGGGCTTTGAAGACAGGAAATTCGCCTGGAAGTTGTTTCACCCGGAAAACCCATTTTCCCTTCACAATGTTGACGCCGGAGGGAGGAGAGACATCTGTGAAAGTTCCTGTGTGAATGAAGGCCTCACACTCTGCGATAATGGCCCCTATCCACTGAGCGGCGTTAGGACCAGAAACTGCTTCAGCATAGGTGAGAGTTGTGGGGATGGAGGGGTTGTCCGAGAAGTTGAGGGTGGGAGATTCTGCGATATCTGGAAAGAGGGAGCAGAGCGCGTGTATGGCTGAGTCAATGTCAATCAACTCCTCATGTCTGTCCTCAAGAAGGGAGGGCATGAGCGAATAATCACCCCCGACAGGAGGAGGATTGAGAGAGACACGAATGGAAAGGGAAAGAGGCTGGGGAGCTTTGTGCGAGCGGGTGCGACCAGCGATGGGGGAGGGAGGCGGAGCTGGAGGAGGAGAAGCAGGAGGTGTAGTGGCAGCATCAGGAGCAGCAGCTGAATCAGGAGCAGGAGCCAGAGCAGGAGCAGGAGGTGGATCAGGAGCAGGAGCAGCAGCAGGAGGACGGCGTTGGTAGGTTTTGAGAGGAATGGACTCGGGGGCGGGAAGGAGCGGGGGAGACTGCGTGGTGCTGGATGGGGAAGCGGGTGACGGGGGGTCGGAAACTGTGGAGGGAGCGGGAAGAGGAGGAGATGGAGTGGTGGCAGGAGGAAGGCTGTCAAATTCAGCCCAAGTAAGAGAAAGAGGCAGAGGAGAAGGAGAAACTGTGGAGGAGGGGTAGAATGGGTGGGATTCATCGAAGAAAACATCTCGGCTGCGATAGAGTTTGTTGGTGGTAGGATGGAGGAAGAGGTAGTCTGGCGAGTCCGAGTTGTGCCCGAGGTATACGCACGTGATTGTTTTCGGAGCAAGCTTGCCGCCAGCTGCACGACGGGCTTGGGAGTTGAGGAGGACATAGGAAGTGCACCCCCATACACGAAGAGGGCGGACGGACGGCTTTTGACCCGTCCACAGCTCTGCGGGGGTGGTGTGGGTGTGGTGAGGATGAGGATGGAGATTGTGGAGGGCGGCAGCATGGAGCATGGCGTATCCCCAAAGAGAGGGAGGGGCGGAAGCATGCGTGAGGAGGCAGCGAGCAATCTGCACCAGGATGCGGTTTCGGCTTTCAGCAACACCGTTCTGTTGAGGGCTGTCTGGGAGAGTGAAGGTCTGACGAATACCCTCAGTAGAGCAGAAAGCTTTGAGAGTGTTGTTGCGGAATTCACCGCCACCGTCAGAGTGAAGAAACTTGATTTTGGTTTTGAAGTGTGAATGAGCCTGCCTGGCCCATTCCATGATGATGGCTGGGGCTTCAGACTTGGCGGTGAGAAGGTGAACGGACACATAGCGGGAGTAGTCATCAACGATGACAAGGAAGTAGAAGTGTCCGCCACGGGAACGAACAGGAGCTGGACCCCAAAGGTCCATGTGTACGCGATCGAGAGGTGCGGTAGAGATGGACTCAGTGGGAGGATGGGGCTGTTCCCGAAGCTTGCTCTGTGCACAGTCAAGGCAAGGCGGTCCAGAAAGAGAGGGGGGTTGTGGAAGTGAGGCGGGCAGCCCATGAAGGAGTTGTTTGGTGGCAAGGTCTGAAAGTGCGCGAAGTTGATGTGGCCGAGGCGGTTATGAAACAGCATAGTCTTGTCAGTGAGGAGGCGGCAGTGACATGAGGGGGAGTCTGAGGATGGAAGCGGAAGGTTGGTGAGGGAGCATGTTTGAACGGGAGGTACAACTAGTGTGTACAGGTTGTTGGAGTTGAGGGTGAAGCGGGCAAGATGGAGTCCGGTTTTGGCGTCAAACATGTCACAGTAGTCAACATCATTGGGAAAGATGGTGATCACGCCTGCGTGTTGGATTTCCCGCTGTGCAAGAAGGTTGTAGCGGAGGGTTGGGGCACAGATGCCAGTGACTGTGCCGGATGGGAAAGCTGGACAGGAAACTGTGGAGGACCCATGGCATTGGATGGAGAAGCTAGAATCGGCTCCAAGGAGTGAGGTGGGAGCCTGGTAGGGAACGAAGGCGGTTTGGTCTTTAAGCACTGTGTGGGTGGCACCACTGTCTAGTATGAACTCAATTCCCTGTGTGGTTGAAACACCGATGTACTGCGACCCCTTCTCATTAATAAGACCAGCACCAGAGAACAACAGGTTAAGGCGAACATCAGATGGGGCGCT